ACACATGCAAACACAAAGGAGATGAGTCCCGAATCACAGGCATCAATTTGATTCATGCCTACTAACATAAGAAAAATGCTTCTTGAAATATTTGCTAGTATGAAACTGGCCAGAATGTTGAAGCATGTTTATGTGACATAGATGAAGGAGTTTTGTTGTTGTTGTTGTGATGATATTAGAATATCCTATCCAGAAATCATATAGAAACTATGGCCCAGATTACGAGATGGTCACCAGGAGGGATCAGCTTAGATGCTTGGTCACATGTAGAGCTCAATGCCTAAAGTGTGGCAAGTATTCTCTCCCTTCTCTAAGTTACGCTGAAGATCTGGTCCTCATATTACAGAGTTGTTTACAATGAGAAATACTACTGTACATGTGTCAGTTCCATATCAATTGGAAGCCAGGATTCAACGTGTTGTTAGCACTTTCATACTAATGATTATTCAGGAGGACACCTCCCTCTTTTATGATTTTCCATATGATTTAAGATCAGCTGTGAACTCTACATGTATTTTCTGAAGAAATTTGGTATGATTAAAGTATGAACTGGTATCTAGAATTATATCCCTGAAGATGAACTGGCTCCTGGTATCAGCAAAGTGCTTCTCTTAATTTTTTATGTGATATGATTTATGCTAAGATAGTTGTTGGGTGTCAGATCTTGGAATGCCACTGCATAATTTTACACACAATTTTACTCAGTTAATAATATCCTAGCAGAATATTACTTCATACTGTAACTTGCATCAGATTACAATGCATCGGTGGCCAGATTTGGCTTATCCCCACCTTCTCATTGTTAGGAATATTATTTTATATTAATATCATCAGATGCTACTATTCTTTAATTCAGGACTGTTCTTTTTTAAACGTAATCCAACCTAGAACTTTAGAAGAAAGTAATTTAATTTTGTGTTCTTACATATAAACTGCCCAAAATTGTAAGACAATATTTTCTCAGACATGAATGTTGGAGACCCATCATCCTAGCACTGTTGGAGAATGAAACTTAAATTTGATAAAACATACATAGGATTGGACTCTATAGTGATACAGATTTCAAAGTTGTCATACTGTCTGTAGTTCACTTTTAGGGCTCTGTAAATAACATATTACATAAAACTATATACTGTCCAGTCAAAATGAAAATTGAGTATAAACCTGATGCAGGGCAAAATTGTGGTCAGGGAGGAGTTGCGGTCCCTCTTCTCTTGTGAAAACCTTTGGTCACTTCCAATCCTACACAAGGTCCCAGTTTCTTTTCATAACTATCTCACTATCTTTTTAAGGCTACATTTGTCCAAATCACAGACTGTGCAAACACTTTCTATGCATGTAAGTTTTCTTTTTGGTCTCTCGACTCTTCAAGTACAATTAAGCACAAATTCAACGTCAAACATTCAGCTCATATCATGACAATCTGGAACAATGCTGGCAACACATACAAATGAGAAAGTTATACTAATTATATAACTTACATTCCCATACATTTGAGCAGACAGGATCCAACCAGAACATGACATTCCTATCTACCTATTGGAAAAGATTTACACAGCACTTTTGGCTGGCAGACGGAAGCTGCAGTGCCTCGGTTGGTTTCTGCATTGCAGCTAAAGTTACCATTTAACTGCTTTGCCATAACTACAAATAATCACAGAGTTATGATAAACAGAAATAACTGGGTCTGCAGATGGAGTAGTGCCAAAGTTCATTTCAGTTTTTTACTATGCGTTGATATGGATGGCTTCCTTGTCCTTTCAAAGAACATTAAAGAGGTCTGCTTTTCTACCCATCATTTCTGCTCCTCAGAGAACAAGCAGAAAGCATGCTACAAGCTAATGTGCATGTGTGCACGCACACACAGACGCACACACAAAACATTTAAAATTAGGACTATTATTGCTTTATTATTGAAGACCTTGACCCTTCTCTGAAGCAATCAGGAACTCCTTCCTTCTTTTCTGCATTAGTCACTCTTCATTTCACTTTTGTACTCTCTAAAAACACACGTTACTTTTCAAGAGATGCATTCATCAGGATTTCATCTCCTGCCCATTGTAACCTATTTGGTATTCATTGACTCATTACACTAAAAGCAAAGCAGCCATCTGATGTACAAATCAGCATTGCCATGTCTTCTAAAATTCTCTGTGAAAGCCCTTAATGTTGAAAGGCTGCTGAGCCCAAATGTGTAAAGGTGGGTTATTAAATCAACTGTGACTGACTCAATTTTTCAGGGAAAAGATATACTTCAGCTCCAGGGAGAAGTCTCCCACTCTCCTACTCCCCTCTACCTTTCCAATCTTGGGATATGGACTGAGCCTCTCTTGGAAGATGAGCAAGTTTCAAGGAAAGGAGATTTCCTGTTAACATTTTTTCCCCAGAGCACTTGAAATCAGTTGCCAACTTTCAGTCAGTCTTTGCCTGGATCTGTCTTTAAGAATACAATACAATACAATAGCAGAGTTGGAAGGGACCTTGGAGGTCTTCTAGTCCAACCCCCTGCCTAGGCAGGAAACCCTATACCGTTTCAGACAAATGGCTATCCAACATCTTCTTAAGGGCATTCACAACTTCTGGAGGCAAGCTGTTCCACTGATTAATTGTTCTAACTGTCAGGAAATTTCTCCTCAGTTCTAAGTTGCTTCTCTCCTTGATTAGTTCAATCTATATCAATAAACTACCGAAATAGAATATTTTCATGTAATGTTAAACTTTCAACTGCCCATTTCTGTATATCATAGCTCAGCCCAAGTCATTTAAGTTGCCAGATTTTTTTTTGGGGGGGGGTGTCATAACAAAATAATTGGGGAATTGTACCTATGATTGTTCCGTTCTTGCCTTGAAATAGAAAACGATAATATTTTCAGAAACCAGGCTTTCTGCCTGATGGCTTGGCTAATAATGAAAACATTATGATAAAAATGTATCTTGAAAGTGACTGAGTTGCTGAAAATCTGGTTTATAACAGGGAAAGAAGTTTATTGTGGGAATGATCCCAGATGCCATATAATTGAGCAAGTTCCAGCTATCCAGTCTTCTTCCTCTAACACTCCATCCTCCATATACAGCCATGCATACACATGCTCACTTAAGGCCAAATAACACATGACATTAAATAGATCGTTTGCTGTTTGCTGTTATTCTAAAAGAGAAAATAGCAGCTGGATCATAACTGGGAGAACAGTATTTTCTCCAGTGCCACCCTATTAATGAAACTATTGCTTGGCTTAAAAGAGATGCTCTCACTGATGCTAATTTCCTTTTCATTTCAAATAACAGCTCCCACAAGTGTGAAATGGAATTTTTGTCAGGAATGTAGTGCAAAAGTCACCACCCCCCAATCTAGTAATGGATTTGACAGAGATTTCTGGATGGGCTTTTTTCCCCTCCTTTTATGTTATAGTTCCAGTCTTGCTTCTCCCATCCTAGCAATTATCTATAATTTCAAAAAGTTACATGCAGTGTCAAATCATGACATGCATCTTGGCCTGATTATCAGTAAAAAAAAAAAAATGCTAATCAATTACTTTGCATTCTTAGAATGGCTGGAGGCATCTCATCTGAGACTATTTAACTTAGCTAACAAAGCCATGAAAGGCATAATTGTGTTCTTTTCTTATGGAAACATAGAAATGGTTCTGGGAGGATCAAAATAACAGAAATAACAGGCCTATGTTGGATACAAAGAGCTTGTTACACTTCTTCCTCATTCTCTAGCTTTTTTTTTCTTTCAATATATTTGTAAAAAATAGCATACTTTTCTTTAGAGATGGTTTTTGCATCTCTGGGCTTCTAAAATAGATTTTTTTTTCACAAATATTGAATAGTAAACAAAATAAACTACAAATCCCGATCCCTAAGCAGTACAAAGTGGTTTTCCCCACGTAGCTTTCTTTCTAAATCCTCCCCCAAACAAACAAACAAACAAACAAAGCACAATCAATGAAAATCAGAGCACCGAGTAATTTACCATGTGGCTTCTGCTTTTGCCTCCTGGTTCTTCCTGTTACCCTCTGGAAACTAAAACTTCCCGAGGGTGTCCTACTGGGGAAGGCCACCTAGAGCAGGGGTGTCCAAATTTGGGAACTTTAAGACTTATGGATTTCAACTCCCCAGAATTCCCCAGCTGGCTGGGGAATTCTGGGAGTTGAAGTCCACAAGTCTTAAAGTTTCCAAGTCTGGACACCCCTGACCTACAGCTTTCAATTCTACACAGCCCACATCATCTTTTCTACTGGTTGTGTTCACATTTAAGGAGTCTGAGAATTTCACTGATGCTACCTGAGGAGTTTAACAAAGCTGAGCTTCAGATGCTGTGGCACCCCCTCGAAGTATCTCCAAAGAGTATCTTCATATAAATAGCTCCCCCACCCTCCCGCCAAGATGTGGATCATAGTTTTTACTACCACCACCATCACCACCCCACAAAACACAACATGAATTATGCAATTTTGCTTGAAAGAGATCTCCAAGCCCTAAAAATCTGGCTGGATTCCCCATTTCATTTTAAAGTTATTTTTTTTCCCCAAGACCCTGCCCTTTTCATACTTAGCACTTTCTGGAAGTCCTAAGCTCTCTGTAAAAAAAATAAATAAATCGTTCTATATATCTGTACATATATATTTGTATATGCAGAGGGCTAAATAGCTGCATCCAGCCAGCTAGTTATTTGGTTGGAGTGTCTTCTTCACCCTCTTAACTTCATCCCACTGTCATTTTTGCAGAGGTAGCGGCAGCCTGCAAATGTGGGATGTTCTCATATTGCTATCACTCTCTCAAGTCTCTGAGGTATGGTACAAAAGTCTTGTTTTCCACACATACACACAAGCGGACACACATACACACGTGCACACATACAGACATACATATTTATATTTTGTGTGGCTGCTTTCCCCCCCCTTTCCACAGTCCTCTCATTGGGAACTGCTGTTGGGAAGTGGCAGCCAGAACAAGCCTTTTTCACATTTCATTCTTCCTCCCTGCCGCAGGGAGACTCATCTATGTCTCTTGCTGACTCTGGTCCCCAGTTGCAACTCAGAAGGAACCGGGGGGCTGTGGTCTGGAGTCCCAATTTTGTCCAAGCCCTCTGGTACACCACCCTCTCTCGGAGAAGGGCTGTTCTTGCAGAAGTCTGTCACCCAAGATGGCATGGATAAAAAACCCCTTGGGTCAACTGAGTAGAACTGCTTGGCTTCGTTTGATGCAGAACTCCGTGAAGAAGAGTTGGCATGGAGACTGCTGGTGCTGTTGCACTTCTTCACAAGTGCCAGAGCTTGAGATGGAGGAGGTGGTGAAAAGAGAGAAGTCAGAGAGAAACTGCTGAGGGTCTCTGACTGCTCACTGCTGTTGCCTCCTCCCCTTAGGCTGCTCCCAATCCCTTCTTCATCAGAAGGGTCCATGGAATCATGATAAGTACAACCCGGACTAGTGCTTCCTCCACTGCTGTGGCTCCGCTGGTGCCTCCTGATGTTCTGGAGAGTAAAGATGCCACGGCCCCTTATGCTTTGCCTTCGGGAGGCAGGGGAAAGTGGGACCACCAAAGCTTTTTGGGTGGCTGCTGGCACTGGGCATAATACTACCGGGAGGTCTAGGGCGCACTGGGGTGAGTCACTAAGGTTTAAACTGTCTTCCAGTGTGGTCTGCAAGCTGCCTTCTGAACTATTGCTCCTGCCATCATCAAGGGAAGTGTCACTCTCTGTGGTCTGCAAGGCCAAGAAATAACAAGCAAACAAAATTAGTCTTCTTATTCAGACAAGGAACATGGCATCAGTTGCAACATTATACATCAACTAACAAAAGCAGATGGTTGTTCCTTGCCTCCACTCTCATCTGGCAGCACTAACAGTTAGTATGAGGACACAGTTTTGAATCTTACAGCTGAGAACAATAGTGTGTTAACATCATTGCAAGGAACCTGGTTGACTAAAACATTTGTTTGGTGTCTCTTCTCACACCTAATATTAGCCATAAATAGACTGATCTTCCATCAATCTGTCTTAAAATTTTCAGACACTTTCAGATATAAGGTCCACTCACATGCTGATTGTAGGTTTATTTAATAGCCAGGCCTCTTGGTTATTAGAATCACATAGGTTTCATTAGAAGGCTCCCAATGTTATATAGGACACATCCATTTTTTAAAATCTGGATTGCATAATTTGGTATGCATCTGAAATTTGTTTTAAATGGAGAACACTATTTTTACTCCTGAAGCAATTTCCTCATGTCTGTGTATGGTTCAACCTTGGTGGACATATGGGAGGCAAAGTCATTATGGGAGCACTTACCTGGTGAATAAGTGAGGAGTTTACATTTGGAGATTGCAGTGAGGCCCAGGAAGCTTGCAGAGAGATTTTAGGAAGGTTCTCTGGACAAGATGCTTTCTCCTGACTTGACAGTTTAGCAGAAACAGCAGGGAGAAAAAACTCTGTTTCAACTGGCAACAGAGAATGGGGTCCAGAAAATAAGGGGATTTGGTAAAATCAGGAGAAAGACATAAAAAAGAAGAAATTAAGTTTCCAATTTCAAATTTCCTTATTGGGCAGAAATCTAAAAAGTCAATTTAAATTATGTTTAATGGGGAAACTGAGAAAATCAAACTACTTGCAATCATGCATCTTGTTCTTTTCACAAATCCAGCCTCTTTCTTTGGTAGCTGTTTAGGAAGCACTAATTCATTTTGCTCTTGGTTGGTCCATCTAGCAAGGAACAACTAGCATCATCCAGCTCTATTAGCTAACATGTTCCCTGGATATTTCCCCCAAGAGAACACAGTCAATAATTTGAGCATGGCTTTTTGTATTAGACAAATTAGCACTTGCCAGCCGAGCAGCATGAGTGATTTTGGCAATGTTTCAGGCTTTTCTTCACATACATCAGGGTTGCACATTGAAATCACTTTGGTTTTAAAAAGTAATTCTAGTTACCTTTTCATGAGGCTTAAAAGTTGTTCTAGTCATTATGTCTCACAATAACTTAATTTATAGGACTGTTACAAGATAAGAGACAGGACTATCTATATTGCCCTCATGATTTTTGAAAAACAATGGGAAAATAAACACATTAGCCCTAGAATGATCAGAAGGGTAAGTTTAGACACTGAGTTAAGAGGACCTTTAAAACACAGATGAACATGTGGGAAAGAAAACATTATGACGCTTCAAACTTACACAATTACAAAGTTAATACTTGCCTTTTACAATACAGTTTCCTTGACTACAGATAACATATGAAACATATTGCAGTTTCCAACTCAGTGTCTTTCAGATATGTCTCCTAGCTACTGTCCCTGATGAAAATATTAGACACATTTGGAATATACCCAATTGAAAAAGGCTGCGGTATTGTGTTAAATGATGCATATCTGTATACAGTACCATTTTCTATTCCTAGATCAGTGAGTGAAAAGAAATCTTTGGAAAACATCAATTTCTTCATAACTATATTGTTTATAACTGATGCATTTTTCATGCCTATAGCTCTGTGATAGTGAACCTATGGCACACGTGCCAGAGGTGGCATGCAGTGCCCTTTCTGATGGCATGCGATACATTGCACCAGTTTAGTTCTGCTGCGCATGCGTGTGCGCCTCCCGCCAGCCAGCTTGTCTTTCGGTCTTTGTTGTGCATACGCGGGGCGGGGTGAATGTGCGGGGTTGCACATGCATTGCATTTTGGGGATTTGGACGCATGCACCCATTTGTGCACGTGCGCACGCTTTGAGCACTCAGTCCATAAAAGGTTAGCCATCATTGCTATAGCTGAATACATTCCATTAACACGAAAGAGCTTTTAAAAAAAAGTAACTATCTCTGTTGGGTACCATATTAGTTCAGATCAATTATGTGGCATTGCCTACCTTCATTGGTCTCATTATTTAGCCAAGACTGAGCTTGACTGAAAGGGATTTTTTCCATTTCGTACTGGTAGTTTTCTGGAGGCAGAGAAGGTCCTGTATTTGTTAAAGGGAAGAGACATTCTTCCAAGCCTGTATTCCTTGTAGAATTAGGACTGTCTTCACCATCCTAGTCAGAATAAAGATATTTGTCTCATGAAGCTTCGTAAAAAGGAAACAAAATTATTTAAACAAGAGGAAACTTTTCAAGGTTGAAAAAATGTGCTCAAGTATGTATCTGATACATTGTCAGAGGGCATTAAATTCCCATGGGCATTTAACCATGATATGAATGTGCCCTGTTAAATTCTTTATTCTGATTCCTCTCCATGGTATTGTTTTCATTTTAGCCATTCTCTAGCAGTACAATCAGATGACTATCCAGAACCTCTTGAACACTTCAATCTTGCACAAGTATGTCACTGGGGCTTTTGGTACTCTGTCATTCCCTCTCCCCCACTTTTAGGAAGAAGCAGGCAGAGGAAGCAACCCCATAGGTAGCTTCTTATGGCCTGCTAAACAACTGATTGTCTGGCTCTAAGAACAGCCTAATAAAGCCAGAAAGATTGCCCCATTTTACTGAGCTTCCATGTCACTCTACAAATCAGTTATCCGATGTGCTTCAGGAACTACCAGAACTGTGCTTGGCAGATGGATTCCCAACAGAATTGTAAAACAGAAATGCCAACAGAGAATGTAATCAATCGTTTATTTTAAATGCCAAAACAGAATCTATAGAGGAGGAGAGGGATCAGCAGTCAGAACATAAACGTTTGTGTTATGCAGGTTTAGTTTTCAACTAGCTCACGGAGGATTGATAACACTTTAACTGAGCTGCGGGGAAAGACGCTAGATATGTATCAAAGTTTTATTGGAGCTCTTGATTGAGGTAATTTGCTTTATACATTTCAGTAATTGACTTCCCTTATTGAAAAAGTTCTGGTGGAAAATGAAAATGTTCCATCCATATGCACATATGGACTTCATGTTTCATGAAGGAATCTACATCAGAAATAATATGATGAAACAAGTAGGATGAAACATGCACCCCTTGTTATGGCCCTATGTGAGCTTAGGCAATACAGTTTCCTTCACTAGTATGGCCTTTAATATTGAGCTTTAATATTCTCTTGAAAACTCAAAAGCTTTATCGTTTTAAGATTCCAATTTTTGCACACTTGTGTGAAATGGACAATTTTATGCAGCCATCAATGTTACTCCAATAAAACAAGATAAATAAAAAGTGTGGCTCCAGTGATCAAAAGTTCCATACACTTGATATACGGTACAGTAAATTAATTCAGAACATTTAAGAAAAAGTCCTATAGAATTTTGTCATCCATCCACCTACCACCCATCACTCCTTGACCCTGGAAAAATGAATTCTTTCAAAGGAAGATAGTTCCTATATATAAATAATTTACCTTTTCCTTAGGACTTGGCTGGTCAACGTTGGAACTATCTCCATCATCTCCTAGCAGGATAGAAGACTTATCAGAATTGAGCGATAAGGCCTCCATTTCAGCCAGCTGGATCTATAGTAAGGGATGGGTGGATTTCAGGAAAGAAGCTGTCAAATAACACTCTTAACCGTCACATCGCTTTAGAAAAGAGATTGAAGACAAGGAAGGAAGTCATACTTGACATACTTTACAGAGCCTTAGCTCAATTTTACACATCATGAAAGATTTTTAGGGTGAGATGAGGATAAACAAAAATAAAATACACTTTTCTACGATGGCCCATGTCATCTGAAGAATTCTCCATTTCATCTTCTGTGGAAGGAAAATCGAAAGCCTCTCAATCTCACCAGGAGTGGCTCCATAATATCGAATTTAAATTCAGTATAACTGAGTCTACATTAAGAGACTGAGAAATCTCTGAGAATTCCTAGAAGGTAGTCTGGGGATCATTGAGAAAAGGACTGCCTTGTCTTGGGAAGCAGTGTTTATTTCCATCAACAGGCAGTTTATGGCTTTGGTGAAGCCTTCAACAGTAGTAATCATGCAATTCATATGAAAATCATGCAGCTGAATGGCTTTTCTTTATTATTTTTCACTTACTTTTTAACTCTTGAGCTTAATTCCAATTTACTAGCACTAGTTAGTGCTACTTACTAACACAAATTATGGTATTTATTTCCAACTTACTGAAAAGAAGAAACCATTCTATTCCTTGTTATTATTCAACTTCTGTTTTCATTTTCTTTTTAAACAAAATTGTACATTACGATATTATAATATTCCTTGTTTTCACATCTCTCACTCAAATTGCTGGGTTTTAATTTGCTTTCTGCATCAAATAATTCCCCAACACCATCTCTCCATCTTCTTTAAGTATCATCCCTTGATGAAAGGATAAAGGGATTCCCCTCCCCTTTTCATTTTATTGGGTTACCTTCTCTTTTGTTTTTCATTTTGCCCAGCTTACTAGTACTTTTTTCACTTAATGGCAGTCTCTTAGGAACCCTTGAACCTATTTTGGTATTGGCTCTTTCTTGGTTATTATTTTATCTCTATTATTATGACCTAATTTGAGAGATCCTTCAATAAAGTTCTGCTTTCCTGTATTTGTGCAGAATATTTTGCTGGTGTAAACAGTGGTAAAAAGTGATATGGAGAGCTGATGGCTTTGGACAGGATTTGTAACAAAATTAATGGCAGTGCCAAATATTAGGACTCCTTCAGACGACAGTTTATTTGGAATTAATGGAAGGTATGACTGAAGTAGATTTCCAAAATGGTAATCCACTATCATGATGTAATCTGTCACCAGGATATAATGATGGCAATCTTCACAGCACTAAAGCCACAGTATTTCCATGGAGGCTCTCTGCTGAACTAGTATTGTTTAGAGCAGTATGGACACAATCCAGTGCCTAGTCATATCTTGAAATGCCTTCAAGATCAACATGATTTATGCATGCTTCTTAATGTGCTGGATTGTGTCCAAGGATGCATAATATGGAAGTCTTTACCAAACACAGCCATCACTAATCATCTACACATTTAAAAAAGAAAAGAAAGCCAGCATCACATCACATTAAAACACAACACAACTACCAGCCACAATATCTGTACATATTATACAAACACAAACTTTGTATGAATGACACCTCTAACTCATTTAGTAAACTATCATATGCCTAACTGAACTTCACATGAAAACATGCTTAATTGTTCCATTGTTTTAGATACAACAAAAAAGCTATAAGATTGTTATTAACAGCCATCTCCAATTACAAATGGTAGATCACTTGATTAAGGTTGCTGTCAGCATTCCAAATATCATGCAGAATTAAATCAGAGTCCAAGGCAGAGCTATCCTTAAAGTTCCACAGTTTGTGCCAACATGTCTGTCTTATTAAATTGGACTCTGATTTAATTCTACATGATATTTGGAATGCTGAGGGTTGCACTGTTACTTTGTAAGATATGAACCTCTTGTCTATTGAATACCAGGCTAAAAAGAACACCCTAATATAGTATAAAAGAAAATATCAAGCTCAAATCTATAAGCCTCCATTATATATTAATAGATGTTGTGAAGACAATTAGCCATTTTATATACCTCCAGTATGAAGTCTAAATACATTATTTAAAAAGTTTTCTAATATTAAATATCAAAATTAGAATAATACCAAGAAGAATAAAATATTATTTCAGTGAGATCAAATATATTTGAAAACTATAGATTGCCTAGACTACAGGATACTTAAATGTGTTAAAATATATTAAAAACCTAATTTCTGCAAAACAAAATTCATAGTTTCTTCTGTGATCAAGCTGTTTTACCTCTCTATCTTGTTTCAGATGAAAAGTTAATAGAATTAAACTAATTTATTTTCTCCTCAACTTAAGTTTAAATGTATGTGAATAAATTGAGCATTTTGGAAATCAAGATCTGTGTACCACCTGTGAGTAACTAATATTAAGAAGTGAGTTTCTGAAGCAAAACGTAGTTAGAAATGTTGTCACTTGTTTCTAAATATGTTCTTAAAATCAAGATCAAAATTTTGCTTTGGTTTTCTCCTTGAATTATTAACACAAGTATATTACAAGACAGGAAAGGGAGTTGTATAGTTTGCTAACACTGGTAAATTGTGGTCTAAAATTCAGAGTGATTTTTTAAAAATAATTCTTACACAGATTCAGATTTACCATCATTACAAATATTTTGTGATATATAACCACTGAGTCCTTCTCACAAACCAGCAATGCAGCTACATATATTGACTGATTGAAAATATATTACTGGACCAAGCATGAAAAATGTTAAATAAATAAAGAGGTGGGTTTTTTTTGTTTCTTGTTTTAAAAAGGAAATTTATCAATTAATCCTGAAAGATGATCATGTTTCAGCAAATTAAAAAATCAAAATGCTCACTGCTTGGACATAAATTACTTAACAAATCCCATTGTAATGACATAAGATGAGTTATTTCAAAAAGGGTTACATGGATGAACACCAGCTAAATATATCCTTGATCACTATCCTATGTGCCATTACATTATCCTAGTTGTTTGACAATGCCTATAGAAAAGTGATTGAAAACAAGGTGCTGCAGGGAATGAATTATTTTGTTTGTAGGCTTTACAGATGTGAGGGAGTCTCATCCATCTAGAAGAAGGTTGTCCAAAATGAAACTGGAAGAAGGTAATAGTAAAGCTATATTGTTGCCAAGAAAACTATAACGATATAGCTAAAATATTTCGATAGGGTCGAGTGACAGATAAACATACTCGCATATCAGAAGACACTCTTCCAGTTACTGGGGAAGAATGTCGAATTTCACTGTGTATGATGAACATGGACAGATCCGATCCAAAAGAAAATTTGGTTATACTTATTGAAGATGGATTTCTTGTTTAGAAGGACTCATCATTAAAACCTGGAATGTGAGATGTTTGCACACAACAAAAGTGAAATTATTGAAGTGAAAATAAAGTGTACTAAACAGGATGCTGTATTTTTGATACAGTTGAATTTTGGTGAATCAAATTAAATGATTATTTCTATTCAGGGCATGATACTATACTAACAATGAGCAGCAAAAATGGATGTGACAATATATGAGTTTGCTACACTTTGTGACAGGATAGAACTAGTGCAGTGAACATCAATGTTATACAAATGTATGCAGCTGCTACATGCAATGGTGAAACATACTGAGGGATTCTGTAACAAATTGTAAGCAGCACTAAATCCAACATCAAAAGATGACTCAGTATTATTAATTGATGATGCAAAAGTTGGAGAATCAAACCCCTAGGTGTACCAGTAAGATTGATCACAATGTAAGACCAATGTGAAGACAGATTTAACATGAGTAACTTAAGTCAAAGAAAACAGAGAATGTATGGAAAGACATAAGAGACACATGGATATTAAATGGGAAAAACATTATTTTGGCTAATGAAATGTCTGCAAGAAAACAACCAAGCTCAGAGAGCACCAAGGACCCCATGTAGGAAAAAAAAAGTCAAAAGGGTCAATCAACTTTCTATACAAGTGATTATTAAAGCAAATAACAGCAACAAAAACTTTGAAAGTAAAACAAAGGATACAAAGCATAAAGGATAATGTTTGTAAACATGAAGGATGTACAACAACCAAATATAGAGTCAAATAAAAAATGACAGGGAATCAAACATGTCAACATAGAAAGGACATAGTAAGATAATGATAATTAGGAGTTTAAGAAGGCCATAAAATCATATGAAAATGTACACTTTAGGTAGGACTACTCAAGATTAATCCTGGAATGAATGAAGGCAAATAAGGTTAAAGGAAGATTGAAAGATGCACATTGAAATATTTTCTAAAAAGGCATTATAGGAGATAAAATTTGCGGAGAGGATATATACTGAAACTGACCCTGCTGGAAAGTAAGTTACAAAAGATGAAGAGACAAGTGCTATCAGTGCTACATCAACAAATATACAATAAGCCTATGAGGCTTAGATCTGTGTATATGCTGATTTGAAAGAAGAATGATGCAATTGTCAATTAAATGTCAATTACTTAATGCACTAATTCATTGTGTAAGCAATATCTTCTTATGTTCTTATAAACAGAATCAAACATGGAGAACAAATGTGAAATGGATAGGCAGTTTCAGGCAAGGCAGAAAGATAAGAGATCTTAATATAAGATGGATAATGGATTGAACAAGAGGAAGTCTTACTTTTGATTTATTGACTCTAGCAAGGCCTTATGTAGATTATGCCTGGAAATGTGTTTATTAAAAGTAAAGATGGGCAGTGTGCTAAGGAATTAAAGAGTTTAGTTGAAGGAAAGAATACATTTAGACAAGTTCATGAAAGCTAAGTACATTTATGTGATCAGAATATATTATAAGAGCAGAATAATTAAATCAATTATACTTCCAGCAGCCTTGCATAGTTTTGAAATCGGGTTACACAAAACAGATGCTTTTGGACAGTGGATCTGGAGATAGAAAGGGAGAGTTTCAGTCCATCCTGGATCTAATCAAGACTGATTGTTCCCTTGAGGTGATGTTCAAATCATCATTTGCATGTGATAGGAGTGGATGATGATCTAGAGATAACTGTATTTGTCAAGTAGACAAGGGAAGACAATGGAAAAGATGGACCAACACGCTCAAAGAGTTTAGAGGAATATTCCTGAAAGAACTACAAGGTAGATATGCTAAAACAGCCATGCAGTTGCCAGGAATCCAGCCCCATATAGAAACACCTGTCACATTTATAATTTATAAATGCATTATGTAGCAGTCATTTATAATGCATTTGGCACGTTTAAGAAATATTTCTTATACTTTTCTTACATGATCAGATGCAAATTGTTACAGAAAGGGCATTGATGGAATGTGGGGTGGAGTCTCACATTCTATCAAAGTCAGCAGCTCAGGTTTGACACAAGAGTGCCAGGCGATGGGATGAGCTCCCATCCTAGCTACAGCTCCTGTCAACCTAGCAATTTGAAAGCATCCAAATGAGACTGGGTAAAAAGTAGGTACCGCTTGAGCGCTGGCTTTGTGGCCTTGAAATGGCCCCCTAAAGTCAGCAACGACTAGCAGAATACAATCGTACAGGGACTCTTTACCTTTCTAGTATCATGGCAGGTAAGCTATAAAAGTGGACCAATGAGATGCAATGCATTGGACAGATATGTTGCTGGCATGAAGAGTTGCTTGGATTAAATACTTTTTATCTTGGCAAGGTTTTTTTTGACAGTATAGTAATTTAAATAAAGTTTGGGCTATATCAGTTAATGAAAGAGTTTTGGCACACTGATACTTCAGGAAAGACTGAGGTGCTGAATTCTTTGGGAAGACTTGGATGGTAGTTTTGAAGATCATTCCAGCTGCACTTGTGCATGCATAACCACTTTGTTAGTGATTCCAATGGAAGTGTTGCCTACGCAAGCAAACCATTGAGACAGCCATGAAAGTCTTTCAAAGGAAGTGGATTTCTTAATGCATTGACTGCAGTGCTTTGCTCACTTAACATGCATTGTGAAGCCGTAAAAGAAGGAATTGTAGTGGGAGATGGAGAAAAATGTTACTTGTATACTTATAATTGAATAAACATGGTAATCTAAGATATTGACGGTCTCTATGATACTTCGACCAAGATATAAAATTCCCTAGCTTTACTATCAGCCAAGTATCTTCTAATGAGACTCTTGACTTGTGAATACTCAACTGGACTTCTCTGCCCTCTGAAATCTATGCAACTAAAATATTCACATTAATTGCAAAGAATTGACAATAAACAATTCTATTAGCTAAGATATGCAAAATGTTTGATTCAGACTACCTAAGCTATAGTTCCTTACAACCATCACTCAACAGGAAATCTCTTTACTTCCATTTCCTCCACCTTCCACTAGCACAATTTAATTAAAAAAAGGAGCCAAAGGTTCAAAACTAAGACAAAATAAAATGGTAGCCAGCATTTTAAAAAACTTAAAGTGATTTTACCTTGAACTAGACTACTTTAGAGTACTTCTTAGATACCAGAAAACAGAGGTCCACTTAAAACTAAGCATATCATTTAAAAATACTCTCCAAACCTTGAAAACCATGAAACAATGCACCGTGTTCCTTTCACAAATCACTCTACAATATGCAAAACAGAATACTGTATTCTCTATAGAGGTAATACTGTATCTCATCTTTCATAATGATAAAAGGTGGAGTTTTTTTTTTCATATACCCTTGTCAATCTAGCTGTCTTTCCATTCAGCCTTTGGCTAATACAAACATGCCTTTCCTCCTTTGAACTAGATGCCTTCAGGAAAGCATGTTAATGGCAAAATGTATATCAAAGTTATCTATAATCAGGAGACAATCCCAAGAAGAACCTTGTGCTTAGTGTGCATGTGTGTGTTCTGAAAAGTATGGGATGTCCCCTCCCGTATCCTCGCACGCAGGTTACCTCTTGCTTGTCATGGTTACACTTCTCGCACATGGCCGGCGAGGAGTAATGATGGAAGACGGAGCCCGATAGGTTATCGATGATCATTAACTCCCCGTCGAAGGAGTCTTTAATTATTAAAGACACACTGTCCAGCCATAAGTTCTCCTAGGGGACAAGAAAGGGGGAGGATGGGAGACATTATTTTAAGAACTCCATGTTTTTGCTTGTTTTAGTGTTCTTTTGCATAATGTAGTTATCTTCTGCCACTTTCACTCATGCTGGTTAATTCTGTGGCAAATAGTCACATCTGAGTACAGTCCTACAGAATATGAGTAAATGAGGCAGAATATAGCCCTACACAATGATGTAAAATGAAGGGGTCAATGGATATTGGGCAGAGAAGCACTACTGAAATTTGCTAAAGAACCTCACAGGTGTTCCTCGAGTTACTTAAATAATTTTGTGTTTTCCTACTGTATCTCCACTATTGTACCTTAGGCCTGCCTCATGGTATCTTTTTAAATTTTATTTTCCAACTTTTTGCAAAATCCAGATTTCATTCTATTCAGCACTAATTGGTGTTCTAAGTTCTGACTTCACGAGCATTTTTCAGTATACCAGAACTCCTAGCCTAGAACTGAATTTTTGCCAATCACAGGTTGCTTAAATATCCATTTTTTTCCATCATAACTCTTTACATTCTTCTAAACTAGCTTTGTTCTCCCAAATTAATGTGCCAAAAACTTGCTAGCAGCAAGGAAAAATGCTCCGCCTACCTGTGCTGGAGAGTAACATGTCATGCATAGATGTCCTTCAGACTCCTTTCTCCCACCTCCTCCATCTTGTCCAGGATTCAATGAGCTCATGCTATGAGGGCACAATCCATGTGCCATCTCAAGCTCAATCTCAGCATCCATTTCTGCATCCTCCTGTGCTTCCTTGTTGCTGTCATCTAGGTGCTTCATAAGGACAGCTACTACAACATTGATGAGGACAAATTGGGCTGTGAGCACGAAGCTAACAAAGTAGAGTGGAGAGATGAACTGTAGGTTGCTCAGGCAGCTCCGATCATCATGAGTGCAGTCACGTAGTGTATCCTTGAGGAATTAAGTTAGGCCAAAAAAGTGAAAAACAAAAAGAAAGAAAACCAAACAATTCCCCATACAACACAAATACATGAGCACAAAACACAGAGAAAAGGGAAACGTTATTTTTAAAAAATGAAGACAAAATTTAGCTGCTTTCTCAATCAAAATATTTAAACAAGGCTCAAGATGTATGATGGATCTGATGTATGATATTTCTGGAAACAGAATTTTCTCACTCCAACCTCTATTTCATTAATTCTATCACTTTCTGGATCGACAAGAAATCTGACACATAGGAAAGTCCTAATTAACTACAAAATAATATCCCTTTTTATCTTAGCACATGAATAGAAAATAATGCAGCAATGGCATATTTATCCTTGTCCCATGTCCCAATATTCTATTGAGACAGAGCATTTTGCACTTTGAGATATATATATTTCATAGTACTGAGTATTTAATATGAAACATGAATATTTTAGTGACTGGAGTCTATGCCAACATGTCACTTTGAAGAGCCTACTCATGTGAATTTGATACTTTCCTGCACTGGATACAAATTAGGACAGATATGGGATAGTGATCCTACTGAGCAAGATAATATGAGTGAATAGCTGTATGTAACAGAGAATTTATGAGGGTTGTCTTAGCCAAATCACATTTCATCCAACGAGTTGGTCTAATTTTGTATTACTACAGTACTCAAAATTCATTTGCTACCCAAATGTTATATTTTAAACCTTGTTTTACGAGATGGTTGACTGTAGCTATCCCAGTGGAAATGTCTTCTGAGGAAGCACATGCATGCCCAGAAGTTCTCTAGGGGCTCCAAGCAACTGCTCCAAATCGAAAAGCAGCTGAGGCTGTTTTTATGGCCTTTAGGAATAGATTCACAGAGGCACTTTGTGTGTTATGTACTTCCTCCAATGATTTCCCAGACTCAATATTCTTTAGCTTTAATGGAGCCATAAAAAGATTTGTATTGCCATAGCTCTTATATGATGCTTCAGGAATGACAGTTTGCTTATGTACTGTAGTGTCTTAGTACTATACTATCCCTTCCTTCTCTCTTGCCTATTCAGGAATTCACACTCCACACAAGCTCTAAAATATTGCAAATAAATAAATAAATCATCCCATCCCCCAAATGATGGGATAGATGTATCATGCCCGGTTCTGTCTATCATTATCAATAACATTCTAACATTTTTTTGTAATGCCAGGCATTTGCAGTCATTGATTGGATACTTGCAATGTAGAAATCACAGTATACACAGCATGCTTTAAGCTCACCGTAGGACCCTGGCAACTTTCCTTTTGTTTCCATTTTAGGACACTATTCATGACAGCACAAAACATGTCTCCAGAAATGGCCCCAATTACCTTCATAATGCCATTCCAGTTGTCACCAGTGGAAACCTGGAAAAGGGTGAGGAAGGCCATTCCAAAATTCTCAAAGGTGGCATGGCGGCTCATTCCTTCACATGGGTGCTCATCATTGCATACTGGAAAGAAGGGGTTTTATACGTGAAAAAATAGACATGAAGCTGAAATTTAAGATTTGAAAAGGCAGTTTATAAATTTTAATCTTGTCTTTACAGTATATGCAAACCTAGATAGAAGAATCATCTAATCAACATACGAATATCTCTAAAACAATCGGGATCAGAAGATACTCTTATATTTTCGCAAAATGCAAATGTGTTGTATAATGCATACCAAGCTGGTTTCAAATAATAATAATGTGTCTTATTTTTCACATATTTGCCTTATAACCTCCTTCTCTTTCTCCAAAACTTATTTCTCTGTTGCTTTTAGATTATTAAAAATATGTTTCTTTGAAATGAATTAGCATGATGTGTAATCAACAAATACATTGTTAAAAGTAGGAAGAGTGGCTAAAATAAGTGACTGAAATTCCATTCAAATTGTAATTTATTTCAAGATTTATAAGGCTGTCTAATAATGTGACTTTGGGCAATGCCCAGCATAAAAAATAATAAAGAAAAAATCCACCATATAACAATAACCCGATATAACATATAAATAAAATTTACACATAACAGAATAACCAAAAGGGGGGGACTCTCAATCAGCTCCTAATGTCTAGCAGAAGAGACAGGTCTTAATGGCTTTCCTAAAGGAAAAGTAGGTTATAAAATGGGATTTGATGGGGTAAAACCTTGTTCCTTGGTTATTATTATCATTTAGCTGTTTTAAAAGAAACTAAACTGTTATATGTCAGAGGAAGGAGGGGAGAGAGATAGTTTCCAGAACAGGAGCAACCACAGAAAAGCCATGCCTTCTAGATTCCATAAGATGACAAGATCTAAAAGATGGAACCTGAGGCAGGTCCTCACTGTGGAGAATGTGGGGCAGACAGATGTTCTTGGTAGAAGCCAGTCCCTCAAAGAACCTGGTCCTATACCGTGTGGGGTTTTAAAGTGATAACCAGCACCTTGAAGCATACCAGAAGCCTATTGGAAATCAATTAGGCCTGTAGAATATGGTCTACATTGGCATAATGGGATGTGTCCATAACTCTCTGCATTGCTATATTCTGGACCCACTGAAGCTTCCAGATGATTTTCAAGAGCAGCTCCATGTAGAATGTATTGCAATAGGCCAACTGGGAGGTGACCAAGGTGTGAGTGACCATGAGTAGGGCCACCTGATCCAATAATGAGTGCAACTGGCAGATAAGGTGCAGTTGTGTAAATACAGCCTTGGCCACAGCTGCCACCTGCTCATCAAGCAGGAGCCCCCAGATTGCAAGCCAAGTCTGAATGGGGTAATGTCATGCCATCCAGAATCAAATATGGAAATTTTGTAACTCCTGGGTCTGAAGTACTCAAAGAGTAAATAACTATTTCTGTTGTTTTCTCAGTGCACAAGCCAAAATGTGATTGAGAACAGAGTGAAGACAGAAGCAATTCAACATAAAGAGGGAAATAATGAGGCAATCTAGTCCAATATGGTACTTAAATTCATTTCATACATGTTTATTTCAATTGCTGTAAAATCTGGTCATTATCACCAAAGGCAAATGGGTTATAAAGTGATGAATTAAAGCTATTACAACTATATAGGTTTAGCCCTGGATTTCTGAAAAGTAGGTTATAAAATGGGATTTGATGGGGTAAAACCTTGTTCCTTGGTTATTATTATCATTTAGCTGTTTTAAAAGAAACTAAGCTTAAAGGACAAAGAGATGAATTTTTCTTAAAATAATTCTCCTTAATAATCTCCCATGTTAAAACAAAACAAAGACACAATGAAAGTAGATGTTATAAAGAAAAACATACAGATGAAGGGTCCCTTCCAATGATAAAAAAGTGGCAACAGAAATTCTATTCTTTTTCAATATTAGAAATGCCTTCAAGATTAAGAAAATAAAATTATTTCTCTCTGAAGAAGTTGGAAGAAAAACATGAATTGCCTGAAAACATTAAATAATTATCTACTTTGCACAGTATCAATGGAAATGCTCAGGGGTGGGCTGCTACAGTTTCTTCCGGCTTCATGAGAATCCGTAGCTAACATTATGGCTGGTTAGGAGAATCTCCAAATCTCACCCCTGGCTGGCCATGCCCACCCCACCCCACCCCTCCCAGGAGTCTCCACATGGCCTGTTTTGGATGTGAGGTAAGTACAGGGCCTGTATGCAGGCTCGGGGGGGGGGGGGAGGAATGGGCCTCTCGGAAGCTCCAGAGCCTGGCGGAAGCGATTTTTGCCCTGCCAGAGGCTTGAAGAAAGCCTCTGGAGCCTGGGGAAGGCGAAAACAACCCCCCTGCCAAGATGCAGGAGGCCGACTAGGCCACACCCACCATAGCCATGCCCATCCAGTAACCAGGCAGAGAACCCGTTGTTGAAATTTTTGAAGACCACCCCTGAAAACGCTTAGACTAACGGTGGGCAATATGCAAGAGGAATCCACGATATGCTAAATTTCTTAATAAGATGAAAACAATCAGAAATATTCTCAGATCATTCAGCTAAAGTGAAACATTATTGGAGTTTTCTCTTTATGGCAGCCATGAATTGTAAATTACAAATGGCAGGCCTTTAATTGAAGATTGTTTGATATGAATGACTGTCCACTCAGAATCTAGTTTAAAAATATACAAAAAAGAAGAGCGCAGCCCTTGACGTTACCAGTAAACAATCACCAAGACAGTAGAACAAGCAGGCATGCATGTATGTAAGTTATCTAATTACTGTCCTCAAGGTGCGTTAGATTTCTATTTAAATCATAGGAATTATTTCCAAGTTAGCATATTATTTTGGTAATTACTCTCTCTTTGTAGAAATGCTGGAAAACTTACCAAGTTTGCCAAAAAGCTCCACTCCTAGAGCAGCGTAGATGAAAAAAAGGAGCATGAAGAGAAGTCCAAGATTACCAACCTGTAAGTAAATCAGATTAATGTCAAATAATTCATAGGATCCACAAGGGGAAAAAAAGACCGTAGTTTGCAAAAGAAGAAGAAGAAGAAGAAGAAGAAGAAGAAGAAGAAGAAGAAGAAGAAGAAGAAGAAGAAGAAGAAGAAGAAGAAGAAGAAGAAGAGACTGAATTAGCACAATTGGCAGTCCAAATGTTTACCAGGATCAGACAATATAATTGGGCAATTCAAAGTACGCTTAAATGAAGTTGGGAAAAAACATTAGTACAATCTTGAAATTTATGTTTGACATGCAACATGCAGTTCTAGAGGTGCACACAGCACAAAAGGTTTGGGTGAAAGTCCATCAGAAGTTGTTACCAAATTAGAAATTTTAATATGATCAGGAAAAAATAAGTAAATAAAAATTCCTATGAAGTTAAGTCAAATTTAATTTTTGATCTATCTTGATCGATGTTGGAGAGATTGGNTTTTTTTTTCCTAAAGGGTTAGGGCTGCAAATGACTGTTTTAAGACTGATTCAAACAAATCTTTAAGAATAACAGGAAGGGAAGAGTTAGTGAGGTAAGGATGAGATATAATTAAGGCCACACTTTCCTTTTAAAGCAAGGAGCTTCATTTACTTAAGAATTATCAAGTTAGGCCATTTCCCTATTAGTGCTTTTACAGGCCTGTTAAACTGGGGCGGCAGGCCAGATCTGTTAAATGCAGGCTATGCCCACCCTGGCTCACAAAGGCAAAAAACATCACAATATGTCACAATACATCATGTGACGCAATCGAGTTTGACGCCCATGCTTCAGAATGTCTTCATAGCATAGCACAGTGTAGTATCATCCAGGTATTTTTGAACAGAATCTGTCCTCGTTGCTCTTATCTTGACACAACAAAAATTGGATGAACTAAGTTATGCAATAAGTTCCTAATGTGGAAATGCACCAAGACAAAGTCTGTTAAAGTTGTAAAAAGGTCTGCGGCTTTTGGAGTCCAACAGAAAATAAATCCTTCCTTGAGATGAAGCAAGGAAAAGCTCAATAACATCTGTTTGGCTGCATCTCAGCAAATTCCCATCACATGGTTCTAACATATGCACATGTACATCAGGTTTATAATGAAATAAAATTTGTCTCAAAAACCTTGGCCTACAAACAAACAGACAAAAAAACCACTTAGGTAATTCCTTACTCCTACGCTTCTTCTCCAGGCGCCTCAAACGCTTTTCTTCCCGCCTCCGGGCCTCTTCAGCTTCTTGGTGTTGCCGACACTTGTGGAAATTCTCCACCACCACCCCTACAAACATGTTGAGCACGAAGAAGCTGACGATGAGTAAGAAAGAAATGAAGTAAAGTAGCATCCAAGGGTTGTTGTTGGTCACTGGCTGGAATATAAATAAAAAGTAAAACAAGCAGCTGAGTTTAATAAGGTTGGCATTAAAAAAAGCATTATAACAAGGTTGTGGCATTGTTGTTTGCCAGCAAGTATTCTGCAAAATAAAAAGTTACGTGTCTATGGAATTCTTTGAAATCTCTGTAGAATTGCAGTTAACCCCGAGATACATTTTATGGAAGCCTCCATCAATGTGGTATTCTGCAGATGTTGGATGATATCGCTGGTCATAGTGGTTGAGAATGAAATCTAACCAGGAGAAAGGCAAGCCATTTCTGCAATTATTGCTAAAAACTATTTATATAAATTTGAGTGCCAAATGATGATACCTTTACATTAAAATACTCTCTAAGTATAATGGAGAAAAGTTAAATTTTCATGTGTGTGATATGCAGATGATTATGTGACCAAATGAAAACTGCAAGCATGTCTGGCCATTGATGATGCCAGTCCCGAAAAAGTAGTTGGGCATTTTATGAAGGTAGTCCTCATTTAACATCCACTTGTTCAGTGACTATTTTGACAGCACTGAATGAGACTCTACTTATGACGGTTCCTTATACCTGTGGCCATTGCAGTGTCCCTGTGGTCATGTCATCACAACTTGGTGATTGGAGACTGGCTGTCATTTATAATGTTGCAGTGTCCCACAGACACACGATCTCCATTTTCAGCCATCACTGCTGGCTTCTGACAAGTAAAGACAATGGGCAGCTGACAGGAGGTTGCAAAAGACACTGTGGGATTCTGCAACTACTCAGGATTTACCTAACAATGGCAACTGAAACTGCTAGAATTGCCATCATAAATCACATGATGTTGCACCTTATGACTGTGTCATTTAGCAAAGGAGTCCCCAATTCCAATTATCACTGGTAAGAGAGGACTGCCTGTACAGAGAACAAGAAATGTGGAATGCACAAATCAAGGACAATGTGAAACCACATTGTAGGAGTAGGGATAGTATACCAAGCATGATATTTTAGGAATAAATGAATGTAGGCAGTTTGAATAGATCACTGTATGTCATATGATTACAGAATATATTATTCAGAGAAAGAAAAAGGAAGACATTCTACCCTGTTTTTCAAAAAATAAGACCTAACCAGAAAATAAGTCCTAGCATGATTTTTCAGAGTGCTCATAATATAAACCTTATCCCCAAAATAAGCCCCAGTTAAGATTGTCAGCTAGATGGATGCATTTAGCACTGTATTTTCCTGAAAATAAAACCTAACTGGAAAATAAGTCCTAGCATGATTTTTCAGGGTGTTTGTAATATAAGCCCTACCCCCCAAATAAGCCCCAGTAAGATTGTCAGCCAGATGGATGCATTCAGTACCATATTTCCCCCAAAAGAAGACCTAACCAGAAAATAAACCCTGATGCATCTTTTGGAGCAAAAACTAATATAAGGCCCACTCTTATTTTCAGGGAGACACGGTAGGTATGTGCTTTGTTATAGCCAAATGACACTGAGGAAATCTATAGCAAACTGCAATTTATTTATTTATTACATGTATTTGCCACCTACCTCACTGTGGGGCTATTCTAAGCAGCATATAAAAATTAAAACAGAAAAATGAAAAGAAGTATAAACAGAACAGTAGCAAAATAATGGAACAATAGAATGAACAATGACAAAGAAAACAATGAGAATACAGAGATATGAGAATAAAAGATGGGCGGGTAGAGAACAGGGAGAGTGGGGGTGGCGGAATGCAGCACAAGGAAAACTAGGTTATTATTAATAGTTCCTTGGAATGTAAAGTTGGAGAAACAAAAAACAATCTGGAATTAACAGAAAAAAATTGACTTGGAAAATAAAATATTAAGCAGATAGCTAAATTGAATTTTGTGAAGATTATTCTTTGTTTATTGCTAACAAATGCTTCAAGTAACATAATCACAGACTTTATGCATGGACATTACTAGATGGACAATACTGGAGTCAAGTCAACTGAAATCAATAGAAAATGTAAGATGGAGAAACACAATCCAATCAATAGGACTTTTCCAGATACAGATTGTGAATTTACAGTATAAAATATATAAATTGAAGTTAGAAAGGGAATAGACTGCCAGCAAAAATTGATCAGAAGGACATACACTCAGAACACAGGATCAATATAAAGATCAGATTCAGCATGCTAAATTATTTGAAAGTGAATCTAAGAACAAATTGTTATCTTTCTAGAAAGAGATAAGAAATATATTGGAAACAGTAGTGGAAATAATTCCTGAATTTTTTCCAATTTTCAAAGGGAAAAAGAATAAGATATTGGAATATTGAGTCAGTTCAGTGCAGTCAGACCGAGCTCAGTGCAGCACTAGGCTATTTGAAGAAGGAATTAGAAGACTCAGTTTAGACTAGCCTTGGGCACAAAGCCAGGCAGATAACATTGGGCCAGTCACATTCCCTCAGCCCTAGAAAGTAGGCAATAGCAAAATACTTTTCAAATCTTGCCAAGAAAACTTCGGGGACTTGCCAAGCAATCACCTGTAATAAAAGATGGAAGCAACAAAAATATTGTAAACAACTGAACATAATTTTCAGTATCTAGAAAGAAACTGTCAATCAAAAGAGGAAAATTATTTTAAGAAGATCAGAGGAAAATGTACTAAAATAAGAATAGTCAAGGTAATCACAGAAGAGAACATTGGAGAGATAGTAAAGAAAAATGAACAGACTATACGGAAATTCTTTACAATTAGATTATAGTATAGGTGGCCGAACATCTACAAAGGGAGAATATTTCAGAAATCGTCTATGCCAAAAAGTAAGATACATGAGGTAACAAAACCACCCCAATCAGGAGAACTCCAGACAGAGAAAAAACATCCACTGAATACTCCTGTCTGAAGAAGAGTTAATTAAAATGTTTACAACTCTACAGCAAGATATGTTGTATGGCCTATATAGACTAGAAAGGCTACAGAGTTTGCATATTGAAAAATACATACCAAGCAAGAGAAATTTAAAACTGAACAGATTATTGAATGAACTAATCCCTCAGAGAAGCCTATTTATGTTTAATAATTTACGTAGAAGAATACAGCGAAACATAGACAAAAAAAAAAAAAAGGAAAATAGAGATATGTTTCAGAAAAGGCAAAAGGATACAAGGTTAAATACAGAGCCTAAGATAGATAATAGTGAATATAGGCTTTGTCTCTGTCTTATTAACTTAGCAAGGCTTTTAATTTTGTAGATAATGAGAATATGGAATATTAACAATAATGCCGGACAGGATGCTGGAGAAATAAAAAGGATTTCACTCTAGGAATGAAGGCAATGACAAATTATTACAAGTTCAAGGATATTTCTGGACATGGAGAAAAAGCAAGAGGAAAAAAGACAGATGCTTTCAGATAATGGATCTGGAGACAGTTACTAAGAGCGCCACAGATGACAGTAAGAACCAATCAATCCTGGATCTAATAAAAACTGATTGTTCCCTTGATGCAATTGTCAGCAAGCAGAAATGATATACATGGCCAAGTAATGCAAGCAGATAATGGAAAGGAATAAATAATCATGGTTGGGGAGAATGGGAAATAGGAGAATGGGGAAGTGGGAGGAAAACACAAAGGATTAAGTAAATGAGTAGTTGATTGCAATACAAGCAACTATATTTACTTTTCTCATTCTATAACCCCTCCCATTTTAAATAGATTTTTAAAATTATCAGATTGGTTTTGCAAATCTATGAACTTTTTGAAGAATATTCCTAATCTCTTTTACAAGGAGTTTGCTTACAATATAAAAGAGTATATTTCTATATTGTTGACTTGGTGTAGCAAAGCTGGATGGAGTTCTAAAAAGTTATTGTTCATTTGGTGGTTACATTTACAAAGCTTTATATCTCATGTCTCTTATTTCAGGGAGATTACAATGTTAAAAATATTTTTAAAAAGCACAAAAGATAACCATAAGGTATAAACACAAAAACTATTAAAACACAACAAACGATAAAAAACAACTAAAACTGCCAAAAAAAATAAATCTGCAGGAAAGCACCATTTATTTTCCTAACCATATAACTACAGCACTTAGCAGGCTCTCCATCAATGTCACCAGATCCCTAGACCAGAAAGTAGACCAGGTCTTCAGGCTCTTCCAGAAAGCCAAAGTCAAGGTCAATCTCATCTTGGGTGTTGTTGTTGTTGTATGTGTGTGTTCCAAAGGGCAGGCAGCATCTGACAGGACCCAGGAGGTGGCAGAAAAAGTCCATCTCCTGGGTCCTGAAAGATGACATTCCTTTGTGGATAGGCCCCATTATATGCTGTTTCTGCCAGACCTGNATTGTAAATATTTATTAAGACAAAAAGACTGACCAAATAAAGTAAAACAATAGGGATTTCTAATGAATGAAGTAGTATTTACCCTTGTTTATATTTCCTTTAATTTTAAAATATTGCTTTGTAAAAACATTTTAGTTACAGGTTTGAAGAATTCTTTTTTCTGGTGATCACATGGATTACAATGTTTCCCTTTTCTTTTAATGTTACACTGATTTTTCTTCTACCACTTATTTAATAAGATGTAATACTGATTTTGATTACAGAATCCTGAATATGAAAAAAGAAAAGGAATTGTTTATGGTAATCTTTTCAGTTATCTCATCTCCATGAAATACTGAACAATGTCTGCTGATTTCTACTTAGCAGTGTTAGTGGGACTTTCAAATCCTGGTACACCATTACTCTTTACAAGAAGACATTGGGAATGTGTCCCTTAGTTTTAAGAATAATAATATATAGTCACAATAATCAAAGTACAATATGCATCATTTCTGATCATCTGATTCCCCCAGAATGAGTGTCATCTTCATTCCAGCTCACCTGTCTTTAAAAAAGCGTCTCAGTCCAAAGGCCACAAGCTTCAAAACTGCTTCCAAAACAAAGACTGTAGTAAACATGTAGTTGCAATACTTAAGAGCAGTCTCCAGGGACTATGAATAAGAGGAAAAGAAAATATTACTAATATAA